TTTAGCATGGGAAGAGATGATGAGCGGTGCAGAAAAAGCTACTCAAGGAGGGCTTTTTCAAAATCGCATTGTTTTCAATGGAGCTTTACCCCTATATTAGGGTTAGGGGTGTCAACCAGGGTAGGGTTAGGGTTAGAGAAACGAGGTGTCATGGCATGGGTTTGATGGTTGGAATGTGTTTAGCATGGGAAGAGATGATGAGCGGTGCAGAAAAAGCTACTCAAGGAGGGCTTTTTCAAAATCGCATTGTTTTCAATGGAACTTGACCCCTAAATTAGGGTTGGGGGAGTGCCCCAGGGTAGGGTTAGGTTAGAAAAATGAGGTGTCCTGGTGTGGTTTTGATGGTTTGGACGCGTTTTGCATGGTTCGCGGTCAGAATTCAGACCCCGGTCCCCCCGGCCAAGGCCCCCGGAGCCCCCTTACCTTGAGGTACTGGATGTCCTTGGAGCAGCTCAGCTCCGGGAGGCCGGCGGCTTTCATGAGGGCAAAGAGGTGGAGGAACAGGAGGCCGTGGCACCGGAGGATCATGTAAGCCGTTTCACAGTATTCTCTGAATCTGCGGGAAGCAGCACACACATGAGAGGAACCTCGGGGAAATCTACGGTTGGTACGGACTGGGGCTGCGGGTTTCGTGCACGAGCCGGCTCAGGGGGGCTGCTTGCACCCAGGGCCAGCAAAACTAAGCACCGCGCAGCAGCTCTTACAGCGGGAGCAGGACCTCAGACCCACAGGGCGAGCCTGGGTCCCTGCATGGCCCCTCAGGGGCTTCCCAACGGTCGTATGTGTCCCAAGCGCCCATCCCTCGGAGGGACCCCGGCTTGTGTACACTCCCTCTCCTTCAGCGAGGCTGAAATGCCGCTGCCAAGGCTTATTTATTTATTTATTCAATTTATATCCTGCCTTTTTCCTACCAAGGGCTCAAGGCAGCTTGCATCATTCTCCTCCTCCATCTTATCCCCACAACAACAACCCTGTGAGGTAGGCTGGGCTGAGAGTCAGTGGCTGGCCCAAAGTCCATCGCTGAGCGGGGACTCGAACCCAGATCCTCCGAGTCCCAGTCCCGTGCTCTTCACCACTGCACCACACTGGCTTAGAGGAGCACGAGAGGTTGAACTGAGGGTTGACTGGTGTATTCTGACGTTTGCCTCTGGCTCTGCTCCGGAAGGGCATCCTGGCCCCAGGCAATCAGAAAACAGGCATGGCCGGTCAAGGTTTTAAGACCCAAGAACAGCTTCGTTGGGTCAGACCAAAGGCCCACTGAATCCACACTCAAGCAGGTGCCCTCTAGATTTATTTATTTAGCTTGCAGCTTGTTATACATAGATTTATGGTTGATATTAGCATGTCAGCTAAGTTAAAAACACATTTAAAATTTAAGTGTTCAAAAGATCTCTGTTCAAGCATCAATGGCTAAGCCATCTAACCACTGAAGCACAGCATTGTTTATATGGAAAAGGTCATACTCTGGGTTGGTATATGCCTCTAGATGAACTGGACTAATATAATGTCCATCATCCCCAGCTGACATCACCATCACAGTCCCAAGATACCTCTACGGTACTCGGTTTGGGAAGGCTGATTTGATTTCCCACATCTCTATAAAGGGGGACATGGAAAAAAAGGGGGGAGCTTATTCTGTTCCTGGCTATCCTGAAGATGCCTTCCTGGTAGACTGCTACTAGCTTTGGAAGTTCCAGGACTAGTAGCTGGTGAAAGACCATCCCTCTGTTGACAAACCCTTTTCAGGCTTAAAAATATGAACTAAAACCTGAACTTTTCAAATATTCTTCCTGAAAGCCATTTTGTTGGTACAACGAAGGGGTACAGCGCAAACAGAAGAATGAGCAAAGCAATCTGGCACAGCAGCTGAACTGCCTGGCCTGGGAGATCCTGGTTCTAGCCATGTCTTTGGGCCTGTCATTGACTCTCAGTCTAACCCACCTTGAAGGGTTGTTGTGAGGATATAAAAAAGGATAGGATATCAACCCATAGACTGACTTGGGCTTCCTGAAGGGGGATAAAAGAGGAGCAACCAACCAAACGAGCAAGCAAACCTTTCAAACTTTTCACTGTTGTTGGTTTTCCCTTCTTGGATCACATGGACGAAGTCATAGGTCAAGATGAAAGGGACCCGTTCACGGTTGATCCCAAACTTGGTCTTGAAGTTCCCCAGGAAGTGGCCAAAATCGATGTGAAACAACTGGGAAGGGAGGAAGGAGAGAGGTCCAGGCAGTCAGGACTGGGGCAGCTCCAGTGCTCCACCTGGTGGCCAGGGCTGGAACAGCCGCTGCGGTAAATGCAGAATTGGTCTGCTGAAGAGCGCCAGCCCGGAAAGGACCAGCTCTTCCCTCCAGCGCTGGCCACAGCACCACGCGGCCTCCTGCAAACAGCCATGTGGCCCGGCTCCGGCCTCTTGCAGGCTGGGACCGACAGGGATCGAAATCCAAAATATCAGTGTTGGGTTAAAAAGTCAGGCCGAAAGTAGGACAGCCCTGGGTTTGGATGCCCAGTCTGCCAACGGTTCACTGCACTGGCCACCCGCAAGCCATCCTCTCCCTAACCTGCCCTGCAAGGTCGTTGTGTCGATGAAGGGAAAGGGTGGAGTTAACCACCGATGCCACCCCAACCTCCATGAAGGCGCATCCGGCCTACCTGGCCATTCTCTCGGATCATGATGTTGTCGCTGTGTCGGTCGCCGACGCCCAGCACATAGGTGGCCACGCAGTAGCCGGCACAGGAGAGCGTGAATTCTTCGATGGCGCGCTCCAGGGCATCGCTGTGCGAGAGGGAGAGAGGCGGCCGCTCATGCAGAGCCGAGGAAGAGCTTACCCTTCCCAGCTCGCCGAAAGAGCCGAGGCCAAGGTTTTGCAGGGACGGAATGGAATTGGAAGCCAGGTTCCAACTCGGAAAAGAGCGGGGCTTTGGCCAAAGACAGCTCCTGGCAACCCGCAGCCGATGGGAGAAACCCTCTTGCAGTCCGAGGGAGACATGCCCTTCGGAAGCAGCCTTGGGGCACCGAGCCTGCGAGGGCAGGGCCGAAATAAAGGCCTGTGTTCTTGCTGCCGGGGGGCCCGTCCCAGAGCAGGCACGCTGGCCCGCACCCTCCAGGGCCGCATCCTGCCCCACGTGAAGGGTGCAGCGAAGGCCTACCCAGGGTTCTTGGATTTCAGCCAGTTCAACAGGGCGTCCTTGTTGAAGGCCGCGGTGGCCGCCATGTTGCTCTTGTTGAGCTGGATGTTGGCGATGGTGTCAGAGTGCATGACGACTTCGATCAGCCCCGTCTTGTCCCCAGTGGAAAGGCAGCCGTACGGGGTCATCCTGGGGAGACGAGATGGGCGGTGGTGTCAGAGCCCTTTGGACCTCCGGATTGCAAGGCTCTCACCTGCCTGGAGAGAGCGCCCCCTTGTGGCTGAGGCTGCCCTGGCACCCATTCCAGTGAACTGGAATTTACTAGCAGGACCCAGCAGCGAACGCGCCTCAGTTTCCCCATCCTGGAGTGGAGGTGTGGGCAGAGGCACCCTCTGGCTGGGTCCAGACAACACAAGAGCCCAGGCTTGGGCTGAGCAGGGGCTGCTGTTGAACCGTCTTCATTTATTTAAAGTGTTTGTATGCCCCCCCCCCCATTACTAAAAGCCTCTGGACGGCTTACAACAAACAAAACCCCAAAGAACAAAGAACCATAACAACAACACAGTGCATCTGAGAGATAATAATAAAAACAAGGATAAAACCAATTAATTGTTAAAATGCTGGTAAGGGCAGGTTATCTGGCTGTCTGAAGCAGCACCGGCGCAAACCCTGAGAACCCCCACCCCAGGCGCCCGTGTTTCCGTGGCCGGTCAGTTTCAAATCTAGCAAGATGCAAGGCAGAGAAAAAAAGTACTCAGTTATCCCCATCCAAGGTGCCCTGTGCAAAAAGCAGGCAGGACGAAGCTGCGAAGGAACCTTTCCCTCCGCACTTGACAGTCCCGTGCCTCCAGGCTGAGCCAGGAGATGGCCGGGGAGGGTCTCCAGCAGGGCAGCCACGGCCACTTGGCTGTCCGTCGCCAACCCTGAGATGACGGAAGGTGCTCACCGCAGGTCGAGTCCTTCTTTCTTCCACAAGATGTCCATCAGCTGAATCATCTGCAGGGTCAGCATATCCTGCCGGAGATCTGCAGAGCAAGTGGAGAAGCAAGTGCGGGTTTGTTTACTGATGCCGTCTTTGCTCCTTCCCCCAACATTCACCTTTCCCAGGCCCCTTGAACAATAGAGACGGCCGCTCCCTCATGCAAACTGGCACGCTTCAGTGCTGCTTAGGGTTGTAGGAACAATCTGTTCCCGTTCACGACTCCTCCGGACGTGCCCCGTTTGCATCCTTGAACAAGACCACAAGCACGGCCTCTGTGCCCGTTTCCCAGGTATGCATTTGCCCTCGGAGGCACGGCATTTCCCAGCCTCCAGCTGACAGCAGCGGGGTGGGGAAGGGATGCTGTGGGTCTGGAAAAGGGCACATTTTAAAAATGCTGCTTTTTGACTGGAAAAGATTTGGCACTTTAAAAGTGTGTATTCTTCTCCCAGTAGAAAAAGAAACTCCTTTGCAGATGAAGAATTAAGCAAGCAAGCAAGCAAGCAAACAACTCATGTCTGGGGATGCAAACCTGGTGGAACAAGCTTCAAGGGAGGGTTTCGAGAGCTTCAACGCACTCGAACGTTGCTAGATATCGGTTGCACCCTCGCTCTTATTTTTCCAAAGATCACACTGGACAAGCTGGCACGGCACGGCGGGGGACTCCCCTTCCTAGACCAGCCCCTGCCAAAAACCTCTCTAGGCCCAAGTCAGAAAACGATGCTTCGGGCACCACTGTGGAGACAACAAGGCTGCCTTACCTGCCCAGACTTGCACGAAAACACGTCCCCAAAGCACAAGGCAGCCCCTCCCTGCAAGTGAGCGCAAGGGGAGCGTGGGCACAGTCTCCACATCGGCGCCTCTTTCACCAGATCTCTGTGACCCTTGAGAGGTTGTCGCAACGACGCTGTGCATGCCTGCTCGGAGCTGGATCCCCTGAATTTGGTGGGGTTGGCCCCTGGGGGACCAGAGGGGACCCTGAAGTGGGAAGCGGCAAGAACCCGCAGAAGCTTCTCTGGGTTTGCAGCCCTGGACCTATTTCCTGAATTCATGTGCTTTGATGTCAAAGAACACACAGCAGCAAAGCAGGCACTTTTCAGGTAACTTGCAAGACTCGCGAGAAAAAACCAGCTGTGCTAGATTGGACAAAGGGCTCCCAGTCTTGGCCAGTGTGATCGGAAGACGCTTCGGCTTGGAAGTGAGGGCTGCCAGCACCCCCATCGCCCATGAAAAGAGGCGGTGTTGGCGGTGCTTCTTACCGTCCCCGTTTTTGAAGATGAGGCCCACGGAGTCGCCGCCCGTCTCCTCGTTGCTGAACACAAGCCACAGCGGCTTCATCTTCGAATCCATGAACGTGCACATCTCCACACTGGAAACACGCCCCCCCCAAAAGCAAAGAGGCGCAACTTCAGCCAAAACAGCAGCTCTGTTCGGGTGAAAGCACGGGCGCAAAGCCACTGTGCTCTGAGGGGCGCCCTCAGAGCCGCCTGCCCACAGCGCGCCCGCGTCACACGACGCCCTGCCCTCACACAGCCGTGGGCCCCCTCCGGCCCGGGCAGAAGCCCCCCGGAACAAGCCCCTGGCCCTTACTTGACTTTGGCCAGGATGATGCTGGGGTTCAGGGGGGACTCGAGGTGGGAGAGCGCCTCCAGGTAGGTCTCCTGCCGGAGACAGGTGTGCATGGACTCCTTCGTCTGGGGCTTGGGGTTCTTCTGGGCGCTGACCTTGATGATGTCATTCAGGCCCTTCATCTTGGTCAGAGCATCCGTCTAGATCCAGGGACGGAACAAATACTCCTGTGATTTGCACTAGTCATAAAACCTCGCCTGGCAATACATTTATTAGTACTTGGAAAGTATCATTACTTTCATCGCTATTTTGTCACCAATGAGTTAACAAAGCATCAACACTTTGGTAAATTTACTATTGATGCGTTTATTTGTATTGTTGAATGCGTATTTATTATACAAATAACATTTGTATAATATTTATTATTTATTCTACTTGGCAATTAGAATAGCTTCTTATCACACTTATATTTTGCAAAAAGTGTATCTTTTTTCCTCCTGTTAGGAACACAAGGGTCCTTTTGTCCTCACAACAACCCTGCAGGGTAGGTCCAGCAGAACATCTGTGGCTGACCCAAAGACACCCAGTGAGCTTCCTGGCTGAGCGTGGACTGGAACCCCAGTCTCCCAAGCCCCAGTTCAAGATTCTAGTCCCTATGCCTGACTCCCTGAGTATTCCAAGCAGCACCAGGTGATGTATTTCCCACAATGCACCTGCACTGTGTTGGACTGGTGAACTGCAAATATGTAGGAGCTCAGCCCAAGCCCAGCTGCCCGGCCCTTCCTTGGTCAGGCCAGACAGAGGAAAAATGCAAAGATTTGGACCCTGCTGAGCTACTGGGACACTGGCAGCTGCCCAAGCATGGCGGGTTTTGGCGCCGGCCTCCGGCCCGTACCTGTTTCATCAGCGCTTTCATGTGATGGATGCTCCCCCGACAGTAGGCCTCCAAGATCAGGCCAAACTTCAGCGCGACTGTGGGGACATGCATTTCTGATCTAAGGCGGAGGAGAAGGAAAAAGCGCAGCGGGGTTAGCATGAGGACTACTCACTTGGTCTCACTTTAAGGAATTTGCTGTCACTCGGTGTGGCTTTAGGCCATGAGAGCCTGCAGCTTCTCACAGCATTTCTTCAAACAGGGCTAAGAGTGTCTTTGAAGGACAACCAGCGTTTCTAAAGCATTGTATGAAGGATCAGGATAGCTCATTGAAGTGTGCTGACTTTTCCAAGGTTGCAGCTGGGACTCCACCTCACCCTGCACTCCAGCCCACAGTGGCACCCTAAATTCCTTTAAACTTTGTATACAGACACCTGATATGGTGCTTCCTTTCTTTTTCATTCAGCATGTTAGGACTAGTCTGAACCACTCAGAGATTTGTTTCTTGGGTGGGACAGAAGTGAGACAAACCCAGTGATGAGGACAAGGTTTCTGACGATAACAACAACAAAACAACAGCTGTGGAGCCTCCATCTCCCAAAGCACTCTACCTCAGGACACCGGTGGATGAGCCGCCGTTTGCCGAGGTTCTCCGGCAGGAACCAGAAAAGGGCTGAGTGGGCTTGGCGCTGCCTAGGCCTTCCTGACCCCACAGCAGGAACGCAGGTCCCTCCCGCCCTCACCTGAGGTGCCAGAAGAGGAAGTGCCCGATCTTCCGGTTGGAGAACGCGCGGTCCAGCAGCAGCCTGGTCAGCTCGCAGTCCAGGTACGACTCGTACTTGAGCACCTGCACAAGCTGCAGCAGGTATTGGAACAGCTCGGCCTCCCTGGGGGCGGAAAACGCACAGTCTGTTTGCACGGCCCCCACGCCCTGCCAGGCACCTGAGGGACAGGTCGGTCTGCGATGCCCATCATTCCCCAGACACTGGCAGGTGCCCTCGGGCTCCTCTGGAGGCGGCTCTCCTCGCTGCAGGCAGAAGCAGGGGGCGGGGGTCCCCAGCGCCACTCCTGAGGGGCCCCAATACCAGCAGGAGCCTCCTGGGGACCCCAAACCCCCCCCCTCACAAAACAAGTGCTTTAAGAAACGCTTGCCAAACACCAGAGGCAGCTGGTCCCCTGGACCTTCTCCCAGGGGCCTCTTCAAACAGGGGCTTCTCCCTCATCTCTAGCTGTGCCCTGGCACAATAACCGAATGCAGCTTCAGCTTCTGGGGATGATAGCCACTGTAGTCCAACACATCCAAAGGACCAAGCAAAATAAGCCCACCTCTCGTGTTTTGGTTGGTTTTACTCGCGTTCTTGTTTTGTTTTCCCCTTCCCCAGGATGTAACACGGCTTTTTTTTAAAAAGGGAAGAATACGGAAGAACGTGGGAAATAGGGAAAATCCAAAAATGTTTGTCGAAGGTCGATCAGGACCCCTTCTCCCCATCCTGCCCTGCTGCCGGCGCAACTCACGTCATCTTCTTCAGCGAGTTGACCGTGAAGGCGCTCAGGTAGCGGTCCGGGAAGCTGAAATCCAGCAGCTCCAGAGCGTTGAGGACCGGCAGCTCCGGCCACGACTGCAGCAGGTAGATCATCTGCAAGGAAGGGGACGCGGACGCGTTGGCCTGGGCCCCTGCAGGCGTCTGGCCTAGTTCTGGACGGAATCCGCCCAGATGCTAGGCCGGGCTCGGTCGGCTTCAGAGGGTGACCGTGGCACCAGCGTGGGACGAAGATGCTTCCCCTAACACTCTTTTTAATGAGCTTGTCGACAGGATGCAGAGGCGTCCGTGAACGCAGAGAAAAGCAAAGCGGGAGATCGACAGATATTTACACAGAGCTGGTGTCCTGTTAGCGGACAGAAATGGTGCAGTACGACTGCAGCGAAGGAAAGCAAAAACACATTTTTTTTTGCCCAAGGTGTCATTTGAAGATACTTCTCTCTCTCGCTATTTCTCTACCTATCTAATGTATAAGGTGTGCACACCTATTTTTTTCTTCCTAAATGCACTCAATCCTTCCTAAAAAATATATGCTGATCATCCCAGCGTATATTTCCACAACCCCTCATTTGCAAAAAACATAAACAGAGCAAGCATGCCTGTAAATATTCCACAATATTCCACAACACACCAGTGTGTTTGCACGATTCCTATATGCAACAAGTGAGCCACGGTATATTCTGCAATCCTGTGCATTTGCAGAATTTTCATTTGCTTTAACATCAGGTTTCTAGACCTCATGATGCAAAAGCAATGCCCAGCTGTGCCTCCTGGACCCCAGCCAAGGAAGGGCCTCTCACCTGAGCCACATCTTCGTGCTTGTTCCACTTGGTCACCAGCAGCAGTTTGGCCAACGCTCCCGGGTACTGGTCCCGGATCTGATGCCTCATCTTCCACAGCAGATCCTTCTCATGCTCGTACAGCTCGGTGTGCGTCCGGCGTTCCAAGATCTCCTTCAGTTGCTGCTTCTACCGAGCCGTTTTGCAATTGGGGAGGGGAAAAGCACAGCCAAGGAAGAGCACGAACACGTTCAGGCGAAGGTCGTCAGGCTGGGCAGCTCGGCAGAGTCCGAGCCACGCCGGCCAGCAGCGCCTCCCTGCCCCAAGGCGGGTGCCACGAAACCAGCAAGCGGGTGACACAGCCTTCCATGCTCATCCTCCCAGCAACCCTGCGAGGTAGGCGAGCCTGGGAGTCAGGGTCCAGCCCAAACCCACCCAGTCAGCTTCAGGCCGGGTCCCCCAAGTCCTGGTCGGACACTGCACCCCGTGGAAAACTGGGACGGCGTCCAGAAGCAGCTGGATGCGGCCGGGGGGGGGGGACTCTGCTCATAAGCCTTTCTCTGAGAAAGCCGAGCAAAAGTGCGGGGGGTGGGGTCCCCAGTGCACGGTCACACTGAGGGCATGGAGGCCCCGAATCCGACTTCCCCGGCTTAAGCATCTTCTCTGTCGTGGACGGGTTCCTCATCTGCCTTTGAGCAGAACTGCCCCATTGGCCCCTGCATCCTGTTGAGCTGCCGTTCCCTGCATCCCCGCGCCAGCTGGGAACACGGCGGGGCGGCCCCGCTCGGACCAAGGCTGCCCTAGGCGGGGCAGTTCTGCAAGGAGCCCCCAAAGAGGTGCGGGGGCTTTTCCGGACTCACCTCCTCTGGATTCTCCACCATGGAGCGAGGGGACGGCCCGTTCCTTCCGTGCTCCAGTATCTGAAAAGGCAAAGGAACAAAACACCATATGAGGAGACCTTGGACCGCTGTTACTCAAATGTTTTCGGGGCCTCTGCAGCAGCATCTGCATCCAGAGACAACGAGAAGCAGCCACTGTGGGAACAATAACAGAGAACAGCACGATAACAGACGAATCGATACAAACAAGACGGAGGAACCGAAAAGCGTTCCAAATGACGTAATTAATGTTTCCAAGTTGGCAGCTCAAGTACTCTGGAATGATGCCATCAGAAAAGTTATCCTGGACTTCAGAAGAATTATTTTGAAATCCCTGTTTTGGCTTTTTTAAATTCTTGTTTCCTATCAAACCATCTTAGGACCAAAAAGAAACCAGATGAAATTCTGGTTGCCCTTGGCCAGCTGTTTTATTGCTGGAGCATGTTATGCTTTTCTCCAGTTTAATTAGAGTTCTCTGTTTTCATTACATGGGTTTATATTATTGCAAACTGCCTTGCAAAAGCAGCCGCTCTGAAAGGTGGCCTAGAAATATTTAAAATAAGACCCGTGTTTTAAAAAATGGAACAATTGCAGCGTTCGACAAGTGTGAGAAAACAACACTGTAAGTGGAGATCTCTGCATCTTCGTACACCACACTTAACATTTAAGTGTTAAAGATTTTTAACATTTAGCAAAATCCACATGGATTCCAGCCAGGTTAGGAAGTTGCTGCAAGTTGAAACCCTCAGTTTAATGGCTGTTTAAACCCTCCAAGTATTTTATACCCTCCACGTAATTCCCCAGTTTAACCAAGGACTAAGCAATGCTACCTTTTCTCCTGCAGCACAGGCGCAATTATGGGATGCAGCCCCCTTCCTACCTGTTCGAACGTTGGATAGTACACCGGGCAGAAAGAAATTTCAGGAAAGCGGATGACCAAAGCAGCAGCACTTTCTGTATTGGGGTTGGTCTGGACTGTACCCATTGGGTTTAAAAGCTCTCCCTTCTCATCTGCAAAGCAAAACAAGGAGAAGGAAAGCTGGTGGTGCTTTCTCGGACAGGACTCCCTTGGAGAAGAATATAAACACGTTCCATCCATGCAATCATAGAAAATAATGGTTGGCAATTCATCTTTGAGCCACAGAGGATGCCTGCTATAATCTCAGAGACCAAGGAAAATGCCCACCCACTGGAGAAATTCAGGGGCTCCAGAGGTCCGATGGGGCAGCCCATTGTTCCCCGTGCCCAGGGCAGAATCTCTGCATTTCGTAACTCTTCGCCTCCTTTCCATGGCCACAATTTCTGCAGCAACAGCATTAAAATTCAGTCGAGTCACTAAAGGTCAAGAAGGATTGCTTCAGAAGCACAGATCTGACCTCTGAGGCAAAAAAGCAGGCTGTATTTCGATAAAGGAGGGAACACTGCACAGGAGAAAAATATTTTCAGTTTCGCGGGACTTTTCAGTCTGAGCCTGAGTTTTCTGTGAGTCATCATTCCACCAAGAACACATTTTTTTGCCTGATGGATGCTATGAACTGTCGTGTATTGATGGAGCCTCCATGCTTAGGGGCACTTTACCTCTTCTAAAGAAGATTAAACGGGCAGGAGCAGCAAGAGTGTGAAGTCACATCTCTATGCAAGTTTACAAAGAAAAAAAGCCTCCCACTTCTTCCAACTTCGCCCACCCAGCCATAACTCAATTTTTTTCCCCTGAAAAGGAAACACAAACTGCTTGCAATAGTCTCTGCCGGCAAACCCAAGGCAGAATTTTTACTCCACCTGGAAATGAGGACCACATGGGAAGACAACACTCCCCGGTTTTCAGCTGGTCTCGGTAGTCAAACAGCATGACGTTCACCCAGGCGATTGGACAGTCCTGTCAGGAAGGGAGGGGTTAAGAACTGAGACCTTGACTTCTTTCAAACTTGGGACTCTTGTTATTATTGGCTAGAGAAACGGGACTTCGCATAGATTTAAATATGTTTTTAAGTTATCATAAATGGAAAAAGAAGGGTGTGGGGGCTGACCCAGCAGGCTCGATGTTTTTGATGATGGATGTTGTTTGTAGGTTTGTTTTTTTTTAAGGATTATAACTTCTCAGATAAAACTTATTTAAAAAAAAAAGAATTGAGACCTCCGTCCGCTGCAGAAGCATCGTTCGCAGCCGTGCGACTCCAACAGCGCAACACATGGGCAAGGGAAAATGGGTTAGTCTTTAATGTGCACAAGATTTCTTCTTGTTCTTGCTGCAGAAGACTGAGGCAGCTAGTCCTTTCATCCTCTTTTTCCTGAAGTCGCTTCGGGGGCAATATGGCTGCAGGAATATACTTGATGTCTTCTCCGCAACGTTCCTCCTCGGAGGAGACTGTAAAACTGGTCAAACGAGCATAAAGCCATTTGCAGTGTCAACAGGGCCAGGAAAGCAACCTGGCTGCAAACAACGTCTTTTCACAACGTTCGCTTTCCAACGTACGTCACCGGAAAAAATGCTGAAAAGATTTGTCCTCTCTCTCTCCCCTGCTCTCCTCCTTTCCCCCCTGCCTCAAAACCTTTCAGGCCTCCTGGAAAAATGATCAGAAATGATTTACACCCTTTAGAAGGAAAGAAAACCAGGTCATGAAGCTGGCTGCCAACCAAGCGCTGAGCAAGGAGCTGTTTGGTGGGGAGATGACGCAGCAGGAGCCGAGAGAATAGCTCTGGCGTGACTCAGCAGGCGAGGGCTGAAAATGCTGCCGGAGGCGTATCAGCCTTCCCAGCTCTCGCTGCTGTCCGATTCTTGTTTCTTTCTTGGTAGCATATGCTTCGGCAGCCCCTCCCTGCTGCAGCCAGCTCAGATGGAAAAGCTGCATTTAGCTAGGCTCCGTCCTTCTGCAAAATCTGCCGATTTGTCCAGATGTCATGGAGACCTGGGACACCTGGAGGACTCCTGAACGAAGCCTGAACTTTGGCTGATCGCCCACCATATGCACAGAGTTATGCTCTGGGAGGGTTTCAGCCCCCAGCCAAAAGCAGACTCCGGCTCTTTTGGCTCCGGGTGCTTCCAAAGATTGCATTTGAAGGTTCTTCCAGGGGGTGGTTGTTTTGAACCCTGCAAGAATAAAGCTAGCACCTCAGGGAAGCCTTAGTCCCCACCTTGCTGTTTCAGCTTTCTCTCTGCGGGGGCTCGTTGGCGGTTTTCTTGCCTGTTTTCCAAACAGGGATTCCGCAACTGCCTTGCGACGGTCCAGGAAGGACACGCTGCTTTACTCCCGCAGGACCGTGCCAGCTGCTTCTGAAGTCAGGGAGACTTACCGCCTTCTTGGACTTCTTCTTGGTGGACCGGGCCTTCTTGGCTTTCTCCACCACCGCGTAGAGGGCCAGGCAAAGGCGGGCCATGCGAGGGAGGTCGCAGACGTTGATCTCAAACTCCAGCCTCTGGCCCCACACGGGCTCCGAGGAAACAGCCACTTCGGAGCTGGACATCATCTTGCAGAGCATCTCGTGCCCGTGGTACAGGCCTGCCTGGACCACCAGCTGAAAAGCGCAAGGAGGATGAGGGACAGGCAGGCTTAGAAAACGGTAAACCCAGCGAAGGAATCAAATAAATAAGCCATGGACAATCGATAAATACACGCCATTTGATTTTTTTAACCATCTGGGGAGAGAGAACTCGGTAAAATAACTTGGTCTTGACTTGCTTTTCGACGCCAGGCCAAGATCTTTTTATTTAAACTGCATTTTAATTGTTGAATTTATTCATTGCTTTTAACAACTTTGGCCAGGATGTCTCCAACTGTTTTTTTTTTTTTAATTTATTTAGAAAATTTCTATGCCGCCCCATTCGCCGAAGCCTTGGGGCGGCTCACAAATATATCAATTAAAATATTATACAATAAAAATATAAAACAAGTTAACAATATAAAATAAGTCGCCCTGGCCGAAGAATAAAATAATTAAATAGTATTAACAGTTAAAATGACGTTTGAATAAAAAGGTCTTCACCTGGCGCCGAAAAACAAATAACGACGGTGCCAGGCGGACCTCTCTGGGGAGTGCATTCCATAACTTAGGTGCCACCGCAGAGAAAGCCCTCCTCCGAGTACTCACCCTCCTAATTTCTTTCATGGAGGGCTCCCGGAGAAGGGCCTCTCCCGCAGATCTCAAGGGGCAGGCGGGCATATGTGGACGTAAGCGCTCCTTCAGGTAACCAGGACCCAAGCCGTTTAGGGCTTTATAGGTCATTACCAACACCTTGAATTGGGCCCGGACTTCAATGAGAAGCCAGTGAAGCTGACGGAGGACTGGAGTCATGTGAGCATAACGCCCCGTCCCCGTCAGCAGCCTGGCAGCTCTATTCTGAACCAATTGAAGTATCCGGTCCGTCTTCAAGGGCAGCCCCACGTAGAACGCTTTACAGAAGTCAAGGCGGGAAGTCACCAACGCGTGTGTCACTGTCGCCAGGCAGTCGTTCTCCAGGTAGGGGCGCATTTTATTGCAGTAATGATATTTCTTTATTTGTAAGCCGCTCCGAGTCTTAGGCGAATGGGGCAGCATATAAGTCCGCCAAATAAATAAATAAAAAGAAAGAGGGCCAGGCTATAACAGGCTAGTTGGCACAGGTGGGTCCCACTTCCAGCCCCGCTTCATTTTATTCGCTCAGCAACGCCGAGAGGCTGAGAATCGGCAGCTTGCCCAAAGTCCCCCAGGTAACTTTCATGTCTGAGCATCAACCCGGGGAGACAGCACTCAGGTCTCCCCAGTCCAGAGCCATCATCCACGCTGCAACCGCTGCGCCATACTGGCGCTCAAGCAGAAAAGCAGCACCTCAAGTCACATTCCAAGAGCCTTGCAGAGCTAGTTTTCCACTTGCGGGGAAGCGGAACAAATGCCAGCAAGAACAGGCCCAGCCGCACACTGCCAAGTGCTTCTAAGAACTAGTTTTCTATGTACTGCTGATTGGTATCGGCGCCTGCCTCTTGCTGCAGCGAGACGTTTCCTGTGGCCAACTGACGGCTGAACGAAAGCGTCTTGTGTGGGACAGGAGAGGAAGACGCCAACAGACGCCTTCTGTCTTTCGGCTGCAGCATCACCGGAAGGCCTGAGGCGCCTCCGGGGAAAGAGCCAAGGAAAGCAAGAGGAAAGCCGTACCTTCATCCGTTCGTCAGCGTTCACCTTACTTCCTTGCACCAACTCGATATAGTAAGGCTGTTCGAGCGACCAAAGAGACACGGAGCTCAGCTGTCCAGGGGGAGAGAAGGGAGACGGACGGATCATGACGCGAATTTAGCAGCAGAGCACAAATCCCTAATATTTTTTCCAAGCGAAACGGTGGCACGGGTCTGGGGACAGAATGCAGGTCCCCAAATGGCCTTTTCCCGTCTCCCACATCCGCTTTGGAGGTTTTCTGGAGCTTTCCCTGTTATAAAAAGCAGACCTGCCGCTGCCAAGGTATGGTTAGCAGCCGTAAGAGCTTTAAGTGGCTACAGGCTGGCTTTTTGGCCCTGGCCAGCGATGGCACGCAGCCCCCGAGGCCTCTCACTTTTCGGCCTTCTCATTTCTCATCTGAAAAGGCATTTGTTCCCCGGGCTGAGAGAACTTCGACACTCATGATATAAATATATGCCAAACACTGGAATTTTATTTATATTGAGCCATTAGGCTGCCACCAAAGAATTTATCGTATCTGCTTCCACACCAATGAATGACATTACGGATAAAAAATATTATCCCAGCTTTTACTCTGCGGAGTAAATTATGCTGAGAGAGAAAAACCGGATCAAGTTGGTGCACTGAGATCCACGGCCTTATGGATTTGAACTCAAGTCCCGGCAGAATCCTAGACCTACTCATGAACAACACAGCATTTTAAGCTACGCAATTCTCCATCCCACCTCCCTGGACTTCATCAGGTGTCAAAGGGGAAGAGCTGGTGCCCAAGGGTGAAAATCCGAATTTCCAAATATTTGCCTGCACAGCAATTTAAAAGAAGCTGTGCACAACAGGGACATCGGTTCCAGATTGGAAGGGGGGATTGGAAGGGGGAAAAAAAAAACCAACCCAAGCATGTGGACTAGCAGCTTAACACATTTTGTTTCAGAGACCAGCAAAAATGTAACCTTTTTGTCACTTCTTTGCTTTTTCTGGAAAGAGATGGCGCAGGGCGGCAGTGAGAACCGGCCTTACCTTTTTCTTGGGGACCGGTGGAGGTTTGGTGCTCCCCTTCGGTGGTGCAGTAATTCCATTGGTCTGTTCTTCCCACAAAGCTAGGATGGAGGAGGAATGTACCATGGTGAGGTGGGGCAGGAGCCCCCGGTGTAGACAGTCCCGGATATACTGTGGGAACAGATTGGACAGGGCTAATGGAGACAGCAAAAGCTTAAAAGGATATAAGAGAAAGGAAAGCCATCAAGAACGGAAGTGAACTCAGGTGAAAGAGTTCAGATTATGGCCTCAATGAAGAGCTCTATAACAGCATCAAAATTCTGAGAACTGGCATGTTTCCTCTTTTAAGTCAAGTACCTAGCCCTTCATGGGAAAGATCTGAGAAAAGCACTATCATGGAGAGTGTTTCTGAGAAATGGCTAGAAAACACAAGGGGCTTGGGCATGGTTTCCTGAATTCTCTGCTCTTTCCTTCCCAGTGCCAACTACACCTTAACACTCTGGTTACCGGGTGACACGAACCAGGTGGCTGCCCTTGTGATCATAAGGACTAGAAACGCTCTTTGTCTGTCTGTGGCCCACGTTTTTTCCTGCAACCCAAAAGGGCTTGAATAACCTGTCTGCTCCCCTCCCTTGTTATCCTCACAACCACCCTGGGAAATAAGTTTTTTTGATCTGAAGCCACGGGCAAGGCTGGAGGAAGGAGCCAAAAAAATTGTAACACAGAAATACACAGAGGAATGATGGGGATGATGATAATGATAGAGATTTGAAATGTCAGGCATATATGTGAGTATATTTTATACTATTCTTATTACTGGCATTAGCAGGTTATGCTGATGCTGCAACGAGAAGATTGTTAAATAATTAAAAAAATAAATTTATTTTGAAAAAGAGAGAGATTTGAAACGTGCACAGGTTCAATTGGGAGTTGAGCATATAATTACAGAAACTCCTGGAATATTTGTTCTGCAGAGCAGTGGCGAAAGGATGGGAAATGGGCCAGGGGAGGTGAGGGCCAGTTCTAGTTCCCAGTCACACTGGTAGACCCCCTACTCCCAGGCAAGAACGCTTGAGCGGATCAATACCCCAAACCCCATGCAGAAGGCTGGGAAAGCAGCACACAGAGTGCCCCTGAGCATGCCTGGAGTGATTTTTCCCCCTTTGCCAAAGTGGAACCTGTTTCCCCAACAGAGGATGAGTGGGAAGTAGCATAGAATCAGATAATGAGGGGAGAAGATCTGGTAAGCAGATCTTGGTCAGATGGACGGACGCCCCTTAATTGGCTTGGGACCAGGATACCTAAAGGAACACCTCCTTCCTATTTGCCTCCCGCCCCCTGAGATCGGCAGCAGAGGCCCCGCTCCGGGAATCCTCCGTGAAAGATATTAGGAGGGTGAGTACCCGGAGGAGGGCCTTCTCTGCAGTGGCGCCCCATCTATGGAATGCGCTCCCCAGAGAGGTCCGCCTGGCGCCCCCATTATTTGTTTTTCGGCGCCAGGTTAAGGCCTTTCTATTTAATCAATATTTTCACAAGTTTTAATATTGAATTTTTATTAACATATTTTATTCGCAGCCAGAGTGGGTCGCTAATTTATTTATGTTATACTGTTATGTATTGGAATTTTATTTGCATAAGCCATCCTGAGGCTCTTGCAAAGGACGGCATACAAAAATCTTAAATAAATAAATAAAAGGCATGGCCAACTGCACCAAGATGACATTCGGTGGCCTAGTTGACGGATTGCCGGCCCAACTGGCACGGCCAGGCCTGGAACATGGTGAAGGGAGGCCCTCCGGCCAGCAAGAAGCCAGACTCCGGAAGGGCGCTCTGGATTTTTTTTTTAATTAATTAATTTATCGGTTTATAGCCTGCCTTTTTCCTACAAAGGACTCAAGGCAGCTTGCATCATTCTCCTCCTACATCTTATCCCCACAACAGCAACCCTGTGAGGTAGGTTGGGCCGAGAGTTTGACTGGCCCAAAGTCACCCAGCTGGCTCCATGGCCGAGCGGGGACTCGAACCCGGATCGTCAGAGTCCCAGTCCCGCGCTCTTCACCACTGCACCACACCGGATCCAAAAGAGAAAACGTGTAGGGAGTGCACACCTGGAACTGGTGCAAGGGGTGGTTTCCATACAGGTACTCGTATTTCCCGTTGATCTGCAGCGTGTAATCGTCCGGGCTGCTGACTCGCTGGTGGCGGAAGATGGTGGCCTGTTTCTTGATGGCGTAGCTCATGAGCGTCGTGGGAAAATCCTTCGGTGAGATCTGGAAGGTGAAACTTTCCTGCGGGGCCAGGGAAAGAGCGCCGTTGGCGTGTCTGTTTTGCTGGACCACGTGGGACGCGGTGCAAAGATTTCCCTACTCTCTCCCCCCCTGCACCCCATGGGTGCAACGGGACCGTCCCAGTTGTGTTCCCCAGTTTACTGCCTCCCATGTGGGAAGTAACAGATTCCAGCCCCTTGATCGGTTTGGTCACCCTTTTCTGCACCTCTTTAAGGGAAAATTTAGATGAATCCATCAGCCGAAAACTCCACAGGGCCGGAGTCGGGACGAACTGGATTTGGTTGCCACAGGACTAAATGTGGACTGAACACAGGATTCTCATTCAATTCAATGGGAGCTTCCTTTCCAATGCAAAGGCTAAGTGTGAGGGTCCGATCCTGCCATGGGGGCGCTGGGTTACAGCCCCCAACACGAGTCGGTAGCCAAACTTCCCTCTGTGTTGTTGGCTTCTGCTTTAAAGAAGGCCCTGAAAACACACGTTGGATTTTGGCCCTTGCTGGTTCCCCACCGCCTTGTACTGCACTTTTAAGGTTTCTTAAACATTTTTAGTCTCACACTAATTTTTATTATTCTTCGTATTGCTGCAAGCCACCTCTGCAGGGCTCTTTCCTGGAAAGGCAGCCAAGAAATATTTTATATATTTTTAATATCTTTTTTAGTAATTGATCCAGTCTCCCCTTTAACTGCTTGCTTTGTTACTTTATAGTTAGGTTTCAAATGTTGATAACGAAGTTTTATTCACTATTTCTTGCAATGCGTACTTTTACTTTTGATTGTATGCTGCCTCGAGACCTCAGTAGTGGGCGGCATAGAAATGGAGTATAAATAAATTTGAAAAAATACATATAAACATTTTGGACTGTAAGCGCCTTGGTGCGAAGACGGCACTGTGGCATGACACAACTACTCTCAGTCCAGGGGCCAAATTTGGCTTTGGGAAAACTCAATGGTGGGGGAGGTCCTCTACTGGTGGGTGTGGCTAAAGACAAAAGGGGCGGAGTCCCAAACTCCAGCCTGTTCTAGCTTAATGCTCTTACTGCTAGTAACTGAGTGATTGGAAGCACTTCAGCTTTTCAGAATGGGGAAAAACCTGCAAAAGCCATTGGCACTTCCAAGAAATGGTTGGGAGAAATGGGCAACATTCAGAGGGGTGAGATTCTACTGCAATCAATCAATCAATCAATCAATCAATCTTATTTTAAGTCGCTGAGATGCAAAACTCCAATTTACCCCTCCGGACTCGAATTTGACATTGACAAAAATGTTCTTGCTGGGCACAGGAAGAGGGCTTCTCCCCAGGCCATTGGCCACGGGTTCGAGTTGCACGGGGAAGCTGTACTCCATCCAAGCCCTCCAGTTCAGCTGCTGCCGCCTGGCTACTCTCTCCTCGCAGAACTGGAGCATCTGGGCACGGAAGTCGTTGACTTCTGGGTCTTTCAATGAGTCGAACTCATGCAAACCTGCACAAGAGAATAGCATGCATTTCAGCTGGGAAGTTTAGGGGCTGGGGAAGGTGGGAGGGGCTTGCTGGGAACTCCGAGGGCCGGATTCGGCCCGTGGGCCGAAGTTTCTGCATCTCTGCTCCGGCTCTCGCCGCAAGCCAGCCTCACCTTTGCCGATGAGGAGGCTGATCTGGGAGTTGACCAGCTTCTTTGCCCGATCGCCTTCGCGAGCCACAAGCCGCAGGACCGGCAGGAAGGGCTGGATGTCGCAGAGGCGCCGCTGCTCATCCTCCAGCTCCTGCTGCTCTGCCGTCTGGTTGATGCATGTGAAGACGTAGGAATCCGGGTCACTGAGCATTTGGAAGAGGGGCTCATATTGGGCGTGGTGCCAGACCACCTGAAATGTGGGGAGAGAGAAGCCCCCTTAGGCTTGGAGTTGTCCAAGACTGCCTATCCTCACGTGCGACCCAAACCTTTTTTTTATTATTATTTTTATTATTATTATTAGAACATTTCTATGCCGCCCCTTGCCGAAGCCTCGGGGCGGCTTACAACACAATAAAATTCAATACAAGATAAAAATAACAATATAAAATTAAAATTAATAATATAAAAATAAATAAAAATATAAACGATATAAAAGAAGTTATAAAAGACAAGAAAAGAAGTCGCCCTGGCCAGATAAATAAGTAAATATTGTTAACAATTAAAATGACGTTTAAATGAAAAGGTCTTCACCTGGCGCCGAAAAACAAATAATGACACAACAACCCTGTGAGGTAGGCCAGGCTGAGTCTCGCCTAATTTCTACACATGTCCAGACAGGAAAAAAAGGCCTCTAAGTCCTATCACGCCCCAGCCAGCACAAGCTTAAAGAGCCCTTTTCCTTCCTGGCCAGGTCATGTTGTTGTTCCCAGTCCCTTTTCATGCCTAAACATGCACAGGACCTTCTCTGCAGGGGCACCTGAATTGTGGAATTCTCTCCCCAGAGAGGTTTGCCTGGCGCCGTCACTTTATTCTTTTTGGCTCCTGACTGTTTTAAGTAGGGTTTTTATTATTGCTATATTTTAGGATGCTGTGTTTTAATTATCTTATCTTTTCTTACATTTTATTGTTAAACTGTCCCAAGACTTTGGTAGTGGGACGGCCTACAAAAGTGCTAAAATAAATAAATACTGGATTACACGCAGCAGCTTTCAAAAAGTCTCCGCTGGCAAGGCACAAGCCAGCCGTGACGGTCCCCTTGCCCACCCTGGAACGGGGTCCTGCACTTTGGGGGATGTTTGACCACCCCTTACACCCATGCCCAGAATCAAGGCTGCCCAGAATCAGGCCAAAAGCAGGTCCCTGTGCCTGAATTTAGAGGGAATCGCATTGGCTGCTGGCCTCTAGCGAGCACGAAAGAAGTTATTTTCCCTGCAACCAAAACCAGGAGTAACCTAAAGGAAATACAGCTTAAAAAAAGAAGGGGAGCCTTAGGCACATTCCTGGAAGTCTGTAAATTCTGTTTCCCAGAGAGGTCCAAATCATTATCCCATCTGGCCAGGCAGCGGTGGAATCGGAGATCACGCAGCGGCATATCTGGCTATTCAAAAGAGGCGGCACATGCTGAGTCCCGAGCACGGAGTTTGGAAAAAGACACACGTACCTGCTTGATCGCGCCCAAGGTGACATTGCAGGACACGGGCAGGGTCAGGTAGATCCCAGTAGGAAGGAGGAAGTCCACTTGTATGCTCTGGTTGGCTTCTTTGGACCAGAATTCGACGGGGCAATAAATCCCCAACGTCATTCTAGATGCTTCTCAGCTACAACCTGCAGGCAGAGCAGCAAAAGGCGTGGAAGTTTTCCCACGGGGAAAAGTACCACACACATGCAAAGGAAGAGAAAATGTAGCAGCTGGAGAATCTCAGGTTCTTTGTTTTCTTCCCAGAAAGGCCATTTGTAGCACTTGTAAAAGCTACTGATTGATAAGGAGTAGAAATGTTTAAAAATCCAAGAGATAAACAAATAAACAAGCCAACAGAAAACCATGCACTGGATACGAATCTAGTTACTGCTTGTACATTTAACTCCCCCTGTGCAAGTTTACATTACAAAATATAGGTTAAAATTCAATAGTTCCTTAGAGGGTTTCACTATGATTCATTTCATTGCGATTACATCATCTTTTGCTTTTCTTCCCCCAAAAGCCATCTCATATTTCTTTAAGTCAGGCAGGCATTCAACAGGGCACAGCCCCCGCTTGCTAGCATGGGAAGGGAGGCGAAGGAGGCCATTCCACTAATCATACTGAGAATCTGATTCATTTTTCCTCTGCCGTCCCCAGCCTGTCTTCCTTGCATGTCATGTCTTTTCAGATCATTAACCTGCAAGCAGAAGCTGCCTTGGGTTTTTTTTTGACAGCTGCTCATAAATTGCTCCGGAAGCCGTTTTTGCATCAAGAAAGAGCAGAAACAACACTTATTCAGTAATCAGATCCCAGCTTCCTACCCACAATGCACATGCTAAAAGGTCCCTCTGCCAGAACTTTCCGGGAAAGGGTGGGTGGGGGGGAAGGAGTGCAGTTCAAGGACCCCCCTGGGGGTTGTCTGTCAGCCTCCTCCACTTTTATCTGGCAGCAACACCTCCGTACAAGCAACATGTCCTCATTTGTAAGTGAGCAAGGAACAATTCCTAGAACAGTGAGCCACGGGGGTTGTTTTTCTGTTGCGGGGGGCATTTATTTATTTCTTATCTGTTCGATCCTGTGGGGTATCGCCACGGTTCCAGATGGTGAGGACTGCAAAGCCACATGCCTAAATTCCTCAGAGAAGGAAAGGAAGTGCTCGGAAGTGGGGGGAGCAAAGGATGCGCCCAGTGGGAAACTCAGCAAAGAGGATGTGATCCAGTTCGTCACCCCACCCCCCCACCGGGCAATGCACTCAAATATGCATTTCTGGGCGGGAGATGATTTGCAAGCTAGAACTCATGAAAACTCTTCCTTTTCTGAGCGGGTGACTGTATAAGCTCAGCTGAGCTTGGTTAGGAAAGGGGGTCTCCGATAGCCCCCTTGGATTCTCACATTCGAAATAAAATTCTGATTTTGGGCAAGAGGGTGGGGGAAAAACACCCCTTCGTTACGGGCTTGTCTCACAGGGAATCGGTTGCACTTTCTTAAAACACCTGCTATACATGTGCAGATGACGAGCTCAGAATATAAATATACTGAAGGCATATTTACAGCAAATATAATATGGCTCAGTCTTCGCTTCTTCGCGGTGCCTGCCGGGTGTTTTGGACTTCAGTCCCAATCAGCCCCAGCTTCCCTGGCCAATGGGGAGGGATACTGAGAGTTGTAGTCCAAAGGTTTTGGGGAGCATGAGGTTGGAGAAGGGGTCTGGAGGTCAAATTCCACTGTGCCAAAATGGGGCAGTCTACAATAGGCGGGGCCAAAGGCAAAGGGGAGGGGCCAAACCAAAAGGGGTAGGGCCAAAATACCAACCTGCTATTTTGACTTTAATGTAGCGGGGGACCACCAAATAAAAAGAGGGCAGGAGACAAGCTGGAGAAACTGGGAAGGCCGTATCGGACTCATGGCCCAAATTCTGCACCAAATTTTAATATATTTTAATGTATATATATTTTTAACTTATTTGTTGTAAGCCGCCCCGAGGCTTCGGCGAATGGGGCGGCATAAAAATGTTTTAATAAATAAATAAAATAAATTCCGTATATACATATAATGCACTGCATTTATAGCCCATCTACTTTCGAATGAGGTGCTGAAAACCATACAGAGAGTCTCAGCTAATGGGAAGTACAGAAATTAATATCATAATAATCCACTATGTGGCTGAGGAATTGCTGGGAATTTTATTCTGCTTGACCTTGCATAAGCTTGCACCTTTATCCAATGGTCCCTTGAGGATCTGCAGCTTTAGTGGCTTTTCAGGGCCTCAATATGAGCAAATAAAGGTCTTTTGTTTTTACACAGACAAACACAATTGTAGAACATTTACATATTATTCTGACTCAGCAGCAAGTTTCTAGACCTTAAGACCTTGTCTGCATGACCACATTTTTAAAAAAATAATTGTGGGGCTCTATTGTTTTAAATTGCACATCTTGCCCTGGATGGTGTTTGAGCGCATGAGGTGAATGTATAAATATTCATAGCTAACTAATTTAATTAATTTAGTCTAGATTCATTCCATGCTGCAGAAGAATCCATGTTGAATTTATTTATCAATCTATATATGAAGTCTATTACTTTTCATTAAAAAATAACCCCAAAGAGGGGTAAAGCGACCAAGAAAACATCATAAAATCAAACAACCCAACTTATCTCCTATAAGACCATCGAAGGCAGCTAACAGGAATGCGAATTTAAATATAAAATACAACACCCACTTTAAAAGCCCCACTTTAGAGAGTATCATTGCATTGGATTTTGGTGATGAGAAAAAACAGAGAAAGCCGCAAATATTCCTCTTGGCAGCTGTGCTCACAATGACCCCCCCCCCCCAGCATCCTTCCCCCACCCTCTAGTTTGGGACTATAATCCCCATCATCCCTTCTGGCTGGGGGGATGAGCGCATAGGCCAACCTGGCTAGAGGGCTGGGGAAAAATGGCGGAGTTGCATGGGGGACCCGGCTTCTCACTTTAAATATTTCCTGGCGCTCACAAGCCCTCAATCCCACGGCTGAGTTACTCTGGCCCGGGAATCGTGGTTAGAGATTCCCAGTGCTGGGAAACGATGACTCCCAGCCCAGCAGAAAGCGCGAGAACACATTCCACATATTTGGGCTATTGACCTAGCAGGCGACGGACAGCCAGGCATCCCTCTCTGCTTCCCACCCCCCCCGGGGGGGTGGGGGAGGGCTGGCCTGGGCAGCCATGTTGTGAGAGCGCCCGCGGCATCCCTTCCAAGCTCCACATGTGTCCACCGATCCCAAAAGGAGGTCTCTAAATGCAAAGCTAGACTTCCAGATGGTGGAGGCCGTGATGTTTTCGCACTGGTTCAGTGCCCTTCTGATAAAGGCAGAAAACAGGAAGGGTCTCTTTTGAGAGCTTGATAGGAAAAGTGAAGGCAGCGCTTTCCCCAGAAGCCAGAAAGACAACATTTGAGGTTGTTGTGCTCTGGGCACATCACGAGAAAGCAAGGCAACCCTGCTATAATAATAATAATAATAATAATAATAATAATAATAAAGGCAGATGTATAGAAGAAGACCAAATGCATGGACTCCATCAAGGAAGCCACGGCCTTGAATTTCGAAGAGATGAGCCGGGCTGTCCCGGACGGGATATTTTGGAGGTTTTCATGCACAGAGCCGCCATGAGCCAGAGACGACAGGACGGCACAACGACATCGACATCGTACCGTTACTTGCAAGATGTTTACGGTCAGAAGAGAACTGCAGAATCCCACTTAGAAGGAGAGGGCAGCAGACAAGATGGAAAAGAGCCATGAAGCTGTTGCAAACTGCACTGCGTTGCCAGAGATATTTTCATCGAGTGGAAGGCAAGAGCAAGTGAATGGATTTCTCTGACAGCCTTCACCGCTTGCCGGAAATGGGCAAAATATACACCTTATGCACTTCAATGAATAATTCAGTGGGTGGTGCTGAAGGAAAGAAAAGAACCCTTTCCGTTCACTAAGTGCTGTCCACATGTTTCTCAAGCTCTAACCTGCAAGGATGAGGACTAGAATCTTAAAACTGCGTGTTTCTTTTTTGAAAAAAAAAAAAATCGTCCCTGCGGCTCCGCGAGTGCCAGCTCTTGTCCCAGGGCCTGGACTACTTTCAAGCGTGAGGCCAAGAATCAGCACCTGCCCCAAAATTATTTGCCCCACACTGGCCTTTCAGAGATTTAAGTGTAGCCATTGCACATGCCTATGTCTACTTCTGAAAAACAAACACATAAATAAACCATGATAAACACCAGACACAAGTCAGAGCAAGCCCTGAAAAGCAAAATGGAAAAAACCAAGCAAAGGCCAGGCCAGACTTTACAAGCACCTGGGCACACGGTTTCATTAAAAAAGAAAGCGAAGGTAGCATAGAGATAATACCAAAACGCCACCCCAAGAAAGACCGAAAATAGGCAGACCTGTCTCCAAGAGAACCTGCTTATGCACGTACTTCAAGGATGCCAAGAGGTGCCTGAAAAGGAAGTAAGACACTAGCCCTCATGGTTCTGAAGAAAGTCGTACTGAAGCGGCGCTGGAAAAACTCCCTGACACCGACTTACACCACAGGCCTATCGAATGACACAGGCGCCCGCTCCGAATCCCCTGGACTGCAGGTCCCATCATCCCCAGGCAACGCGGACGGCGAGCAGGAATGCTGCCAGCTCTTGTCTAAACCATCCCATCTATCGCCGGGGCGGGAGAACCCAAACCGCGCCAGCCCGTCCGAAGCAGCGCTCTTCTCGCAAGCGCGCTCTGAACACGCCCAGAGGCGCTCTCGACGCGGGCTGGGGGCGGCGTTGCCTGCCGTCAGCTCTCGCCCGGATGCCAGATCCCCCTGAACAGAAGTTTCCAAAGGCTGAAATCAGAGCGGGGGGGGATCGCTTCCCGCACCCCAATAAAAGGGGGGGGTGGTATGGGGAGGAGAGAGAGCGCGCGCGCGCGCGAG